CCCCCCCCCCCTCTCGTCAGGCCTGGTTGTATTGATAGTTTCGTATCTGGCACAATTTCAATCTTTGATCACAATGAATTTTATCTTTTTTCGTAAAGAAGATATTAATACATTTCTAAGTATACCATATCTCATGATTAAAAATTATACATATAAAAATTACAGATTGGGCGGGTGTTCTGGCAGACGATCTTTGATTTCATGTATAATCTCAAATATACGCATCTTATATGCCGGTTCCTTCTCGCATTGATGGCGCACGAGTTCCGCTCGTCCATCCCCATACAAAACTTCTTCAAGTTTTTCGGTCGAATTGCAGAAATAATTCACGGTTATTTCACTGGTTAGTAACATTACTTGCAAATTGAGCACAGCATAAACAAGTGCTATGTTTCGTGCCTCTGTGTAACTCTTCTCGAATGCCGTCCAGGAGAGATAATTCGTCACATCGAGACCTTCTTCCACTAAACTCTGAACCAATGAATCGTAATAAACTTTAGCGAAGAAATCGAAATGACGATCTCTGGTACTTCGATCAGTGGTTAGATACAGGCAGCACGCAAAATCGATAGCCGGAGGACAATAACAAAAAAATTGCCAATCTATTAGATAACAGCCGTTTATATTGCCGGCCAGATCGTGTCGGAACATTATATTGGTTGCCCAAATGTCGCGATGACAAATGACATTTCTATGTTCCTTCGATGGTGCCAATAATTGTGAAATTTTTCGAGCCCATTCAGTAATTTGACGCTTAACAGCAATCTTCTCTTTATCATCAAATTCTTCAACGAGATCGATCATAGTATAGGTGCCCGTGAGACCAGACATAAGGGTCCTTTCCGATCTATCGTCCCCATCGACAAAGAGTACGTCGTTCAAAAGTTGTCCGTAAAGATCGAAGATGGTCCGACCGCTCTCTCGACAAAGTCTCTCGTCCAGTAGCAGAGACCTCGAGTGAAGCCTTGAAAGAGTTCTCAGTGTCCAAATGCAATGTTCTTTGTCGTACGGTACGTATTTGTTCAGCGTAGCGTAACCATCTATCGACGCATCTTCTAAAACGATGATGACGTTTCGTTTCCAAAAGTAACACTCTACCATCCACTTTGGAGATCCACTCGTACCCATACGTCGCACCAAATCCGTATAAAAGGTGATCTCTTTGTTAAACGTGTCAAACCGTTGCAAAAATTCGAACTGCGGGCTATGGGTCGGCGGTGGAGTTTTGGCGAAGAACTGCAAACTTTTCGTCTTGCCATCGATTCGCGCCATAATACGAAGATGATGATATTGGCCGAGGAAACCTTCCGTTTTGTTAAGAAGCTCCAACCTCCAATCGACAAGTCGAAAATTACCTCTACCGAATTTGCGTTCCAATATTTTATTGATGTCAGAATCGGTCAAAAGAGATGTTTTCCGACGATCCTGCGGAGAAATCGGTAATACGGAGCATGTCTTGTCGACATTTATCGCCGCCATATCGTATCCACTTGTCTAATCTAGTAAGCAACATCGACGATTGTACACCGAATTTATATCGCACTCAACTCTCACATGATCGTAAGAAAAAATAAAAGTTGTTCTGATAAATTTAGCAAAAAATATATTTCTGCAAATATTTAACACATACTATAATCTTCGTACAAAAGTTTATAAATTATAAAGCAACTAGACAGCTCCGGCAAACGACAGTTGACGTAGTGAGATGCGAATATCTCAAGCAGATTGATATAATTTATGTGCATTGATATAATTTATGACACACTGTAAATCCGTCCGACATACTTTAGTAACGAGGAAACAAAGTTCACGATATATGTTGTTACAAGCAAAAAAAAAAGCTTTTATATCCCGATAACGTGTCTACAAACCAGAAATTTACTGACGTCACCGCAGTCGAGTCGAGAAAAATGTTACGGGATGAAGCTCGAATACTTGGTTTACAGTATTTATCTTAGGTATATATGGCCTTATGATGAATAGTTGCTACGATAATTATCAATTTGTGTATTTTGCGGAAATATGTGAATTTAGAATTATACAGAGGGATATTGTATATTGCGGTTACAATCGACTCATCGAATAACAAACATTAGATTATAGTTCACTACCGTCGAAATATCGAAAATGTAACTTTAGATTATTACATGTTGCGCGTATATTATTGTTAACAATTAATCTGCACGAAACTTGCACGACCATCAATTAACGTCAACGATGCGCCAGCTAAACAGAGGTTCGGGGAAAATAGATCCGTTAACGTTAATTACATGTGTTACACAACCCACTAAAGTACACCGCTTAATAAAATTATGTGCGGATCGATTTCATCGCCGCGTATAAACGTTTGGCAAATACTTACGCGTGATTGTTACACGTGACTGAAGGAGAAAGGAATGAGAGGATATGTAAGTATAATGGGCTAGACAGAGAAATCATTAAAGTCCATCGGGTGCTATAAAACAATTCGGAGAAACTTCACGAGCCTCGTAACCGCCAAAATTTATTCGCCCTTACTATGAATGTATCTAACTTCTCGGAAGCAACTATTAATGGGGTCACACTATATAACCCTTTCGGCTTCGTTACTTTACGGTACCAAAGGTAATTCGATTAACTGCGTCCTGAAGCTAGGAACAGGGACGAGCTCGCTAATATCAATGTATACGATAGAGAAATCATTTAAATTTATTTTTGATAAAGTTTTTATCGTAGCTTATGGTTTTCGCCTGTTATAAAATTGAAGCGTCCTTAATTTTACTGTGACAAAGAGTAAATTTTAGTTATATTTTTAAATATTATATTATTATTAGTAAAATATTTTTATATATTATAAAGAAATATAATTTTTTCCTAATATTTTAAAAAAGTGTTTTAATAACGAGAATACGTATTCCAAAAAATTCCAAAATATGACTTTCTTAAAATATTATGATTTTAACGTTTGAAGAGATTAAATTCGTTTCGACGAGTCTCTATTTCTCGAAAAATTGTACATTACACCGTACATAAATAAATAATGACAAAAAAGAGGTCACGAGAAGTCTCTAATTGCTGGTCGTCACGCAGTGCCGCGAAAACGTCGTCAACATTTTCCTTTTTCTGCACGAACGGCCATGTAGAGCCCAGCAAAAGTGGAATTCTCATTAATTGACGTGGTACTAATTAGACTTTTAATTAACGAGTCGGAAATAAACAACGATTTGCGAACAGATGTCACATTGCTCGTATTTCTAATGATTTAACTATCTACAGTAGAAGTAATGTCGACGCCCATTAATGCACATAAATTTGCAGTCTTCAGTAGTTATTAGCAATTCGTAGATGTAGCCTCCTCTCATTTCTTCTATCTTTTCAATACTAAATGGTTCACTTTGCACAGTAAACTTGCTTCTCAAAAAACCCAAATTGTATTTTTTCCAAATTGTTCTATTGTAAAATTCGCTTTCATGAGAAACGTATATCAATATGCCAAGCTCTGCATTTGATCATAAATTTAATACTCATGTTGCCTTCGATTATACCTCCGTCTAGACAAAGTCCCGCGAGCCTTACATCGATCTAATGATGCTACTGTCTATTATTTATTCGATTGCACGTCCTTCACATCGTCTTTTTTTGTACACGAACATATAATCACGCTGTCCAAGAAACGTTTGTTTTAAAATATGCAAGGACCAGATAACTGACTTACCGTTGCAACGAAGCGATGCCAGGTGGTACGTTATGTCTTCAATATCTAACGTTTAAGCACATCGAAAGCTACGATAATCGTTAACGTATCACATGGAAAGTGCAACGTTAAATCCTACGTTACTCCCATGATGTGTATAAACGGCAGTAAAGAAAAATTTCTTTCTGGCAAACATCGCCGGCTGAAGTCGGCACTTTCCAAGTCTTGAGTTTCAAGGATCTCGCGACATTTCGTATGAAACTCGATGTCGAGTTGCGAGCCGAGGGCGGAAATGTATACATGTCTGTATACGTGCACTATCCCCATCTTTCTCTTTCGCTCTCTTTTTCTCCGTGACATTTCCTTTTGAGTATTCGGAAGTAAAGCAATCCCGGTATCAACCTCACTTCCGCGATGCCATACGACAAAGAAAACAGAAATGCCTAGGGATGCAAGAGACGTTCACGCTTTGAAAAATATGAAATCCAACTGTGTTTCGATTAAATATAAAAAAATACTTCGAAATTTTAAACTGCTATTAAGGCTACAAGAAGTAATTCAAGATGTAAAGATCATTACGGATTGTTAACGCGTAATATTTTCATATTAGTTATCAATATCGAATGTAAACATAAAATATTCGTAAATATGAAGATGCACAAAAGAATCTCTGGTGGTGCTTGAAAAAAAATTGCGAATATAAGATATCTTTAAAGGCATCGAACTTATGAACTAGTCGATCGATGCGTACCATTTAATTTTAAAAGCGACATTATGACAATCTATACTTCACTTTTATATACGTACATGTAGAAGCCTTTTCATTAATCTATCCGAGAAATAAAGCCTGACAGTGAACTCTGTACACTGTCAGTATATAAATAGAGACAATAATAGAGAAAGATAGATAGAGAGAGGAAGAGGGAGTTCATAAAAAAAATAAAAAACCTCAAAGGCTAAAAGTCTTTGCTTTAAAAATAAAAATATTTTTGAAATACATATGATATACATACCAAAAATAACTGAATCTCTCGTATTGTATAATATTAAACTTTTAAATGTAAAGTAAAATATAGCAATAATAAATTGCATGACAATTAGATAGATTATCAATGCTATGAAAAGATACATAAATCGGAAAATGTTTCTTTTAAATTTTCATGCAAATTTCCAAAAGATTTAAAAAAAACTCGATTTAAATTCATTTCAAATAATATAAATGTTACACGATTTCCTCGTTGAGCTAAAAAAATATTTATCATGCTGCAACAAAAATAATTCATTAATCAAAAGCGCCATGCGTCGTTCGTAAATCGGGTGCGGGTTTACGGCACCATACTTTCATTTTACCTGTTCTGGTTCCGGACAAATCCTATACATTGTCAATATTGTTATACGTTTAGCCAATGTTTGAAAACACAACACAGCACGCTAATATTAATTGGCAATTGTGTTAGCGTATTCTGTTGTATGTGTCAAACGTCATTTATCGAAATTTGTTCTAATTTCAATTAAGCACGATCAAAACTTCAAGCGATAAAATTCCATAAAATAGACTTTTTCATCAAAATCCAACAACGAGGAATAAGTAGTCAATCGTAACATCGCAATTATCCGGATAATTTCAATTAGAGATTATTCGTTTAATAACTACATGAACGACAGCAAAAAAAAAGTCAACAAGAATATTGAACGGAGTAGAGAAAGTTTTTTTTATTTACTATAAATTTCAGTTAATTTTAATTTTTTAATTTAATTTTTTTATATCTCTTTTTTTCAGAGCTGTATTTCGTCTTAAAATAAAAATATGCAGATTACAGATTTCGCTTAACGTTTCGTGAAGCAAGGAAGGTATTCAACTTAGAAAGTTTCTCGTTCTGCTCTATCAAGAATCAAGATGAGATGATTCCGACTGTAGAAATCTCTGGTTTTGCTCGATCGAGCAAATCTCATGTCGGGATAATCGATTTGGACTCTATTCGGTCGACCGTACCAGTGATTAGCAGTCATTGGCACAACGTGACGTTTGTTCTCCTCATGTATCTCCGCCCAAATGAAATGCGGCTTCGTGCGATCACATCGCGGTTTACTCGGATCGAAGGGAGTTACGTCGTGCAAACGATCATACGCCAGTCTTGTGTCAGTAATTCTCTTCTCCCGCTTACGATTATCAAAGTATGTCGTCGAGTATCGCTCAGTCGATGGTTCTACCTTATTATTAATTTAATCGTCTTGCCAATATTCATTATTTATTATTTTCATTTCCAAAGATTTCTATTTACCATTTATAGAGTTTTAAATAACTGTTTTTCTGAAATAATGATTTTAGTATATACCGTACGATTCACTCCAAAAGAGTAATATCTCAATCCCTTTTTTTGGAGTGAAGTTTCATCTACCCTGGTATTATACTCCAAAAAAAGAGATTGGGATTTCATTCCTTTGGATCTCATTCCAAAAGAATAAATCTTACTCTAAAAAGAGTAAATCTGGCACTCTTGAACAAGAGTGATAGTATTTCAAGACTGACTCAATTTTCAGTCTCTTCGAGTGAGGTTTCACTCCATGAGATTTAGAGAGTGTATATATATATATGTATATGTATGTACAATATATAAATCCTATATTATTTTTTATATAATAGAAATAGAATACCAAATCAAACTTTTTCTAAGATTTCTCAAAAACTGGATAGTCTCCATTGTCTATACAAATACAAATTAAGGTTTGTTATTCCTTACAACATTGTGGTGCCATAATAATACCTCGTAAAAATATTAGGGAAAAATTATAACGACGAGAATAATTAAAGTGATAAACTTACGACTTTTAAACGTTTCATCTCGTTTCGTATGTTAACTTCCTGCCTCCTCATACGAATCCATGGCGTAATGAACTCGATGCGATACATACTTCAACATCCGCTGACAATTTACACTCAAGATATATTTGCGAAACGGCTCTACATAAATAATCAATTTTAAACATGATATCGACTTTTTGCAAAATAAACGCGAAGCATTAACGAAACAACGCGAGATGCGGCGAAATTTGGCAAAACGCATACAAACCGCAATCGGAAACAGAAACTAACCCAGAATTGCAAAGACGAATTACTCGGACTTTGGCGCGCTTGTTTCAAAGAAGTGACAATCGTAGCGTACCGTACCGACGATACTAGGAAACGCCATCTCGTGAAACAAGCAGCAAACATAGAATATATTAGTTCAAAGAGTTTGTGTCACGCGGCGCTGCCAGTACATTTACTAAAATCGAACGTAATGAGCGATATATGTGATCAACCGGACAGTAAATGCTCAATCGCACAGAAATAATAGAAATAATAAATAGGATTCATAAAATAATAAATTCGATTCAGGTAAAAAGATTAATGTTTATGAAAAAGGAATTCTAGCTTTTTGATATATCATAGTGAATCCCCGTAGGGCGGTGGCCATGAAAATTATGTCCTCAGCCTCGGAATCTCTTTTTTTAAAATATTTATAGCATAAATATTTGTTATATTTATTTTTAATTCCCTTAGTACCTTAATTTTTGGCACGCTTACTACACACGTTGGATTTTTCGTGTTCTGGATTAATTTTCATAACTTTTACGAGTATATAAAAATTATTAAGCGATTTTGACCTCTTTAGAAAGTATTTGTAAAGTTGTATATTTATAACAAATTATATGTAAATTGTTATAATTAAATATAGTTAACAAAATGAGAAAAATGCACTTTTTCATACAAAAATGTTTAAAGGAAAAATATGTTTCAATATCTTAAAGTTGACGTTCCAAACTACAAAAGAAAAAATACTTCAAGTATCGCGGCTGTCCAAAAAATTCAGTATTTAACCTGAAAATGATATTTTTTTAATGCATGAATGGCGCTATAAATTGAAGATATATTGCATTTACATTTTAAGTAATACATTTTATTATTGCTATTGTGTTAGAAAAACTTTTAATTTATTAAGAAAATGTTTTTCATAATATTACAGACAATATTTAACATAAGAGCCACAAACCAATGTACGTGTTTATTAAGGGCTAATATGTAGTTGTTCTAGTGTTAAATTCTTATTTTTTAATAATTCGCAAAATATTCTCGCAATACAAATGAGAATTAGTTGAAAATAAAAAAAAAATGAAAATTTTTTAGTTACAAAAAATATACACTTTGTACACACGATGGGTCATTTATAACCCAGAGGTGAAATTCGGAGTTATTCTAGTTAAAGGATGCGCGAATTGCGGCCGGGAACGCACAAAACTTCTCTAGATGCCAAACTTTTTTTAGGAATAGAAAAGAGACCTGTATTTGACCAGGTGCTTTTAGTATTTCAAAAAAAGAAATGCGCAGAATACGAATGATCCAAAGTGTGTATTAAAGATTAATGTTTCTGAAATGCTTAATCACCCTGATAGTAAAGCCTGCGGAGACAGATTTTGAGCAGGGCCTGCTACCAATTTTGAATTGCAGAAAGACAACAAATTGTATACAAAATTTTTATTATCTGACCTTGTCAGCAAATTGTTGTCAGAAATGTGCCAATTAAAGCCTGTTAGACATGCTATGCCAGCAGATTGGTAGCAGAAACCGCGTACAAAGTCCTGCATAACCTGACGGTAGATTGAGAACAGATTGAGAGCAGAACCTGATTCGAGCAAACTGCTCGATTTCTGCCACCAATCTGCTGGCATAATCTCTCGGCAGACTTTATCGACAAATCCATAGCTAAATGCGGACACAGATGGTATGTAATCAAAATCTGATCGAATTTGCTACCAATTTGGCCCCAAATTACTAACATTTCGCTATCAAGGCACAATTTTGATATTTCAAAAATATTTTTTAATATAAGGAATTCTAAATATATTAATATAGATTCCATTATACTACTTTTTTGTTGATATAATTTCCGAATCCGCCAATGTAATATGTGCGTAGAAAAATTAAAATAGAGAAAAGGAAAATGTTAAGAATTCTCAAAATTTCTATTATTTAGTTATATACTGAAGAAATCAATAATTGCAACTTACCAATGAAAGATATAGAAAATACAAAATAAATTTATACACACATGTATGTATAATTAAAGTTATCAATTACGTTTAATTATATTAAAAAATTTTAGAAAAAATTCTCGCGTAAATTATCATTTATGATCAAAAATTCATCGTAAATGAATCAATATAATTTTTTTTATTATCTCCCTATTTGAATACGTATATAATATATTGACCTTTTTATTAGTAATCCAAACACTATGCATGCAAATGGCCGTGTAAAAGATAAGATTAACAAGATTTGAATTTCTGTTTAATTCCGCAAAATCAAGAATACAAATAAAAAAAATAAAAATTTTATTTCTTTTTACATTTTTATTACTTTTTTCATTTTTCTGGATTTTATTTTCTTTTTTTTATATGTAGCGATAATTTAATAATTTTTCTGCTTAAAAGCACAAGATTTCACGCGTCTAGTCATTTTGCAGTCAAGTCTCGCGATTCAACGTGGACAACACGCATCGTACATTCTAAACTCTTATCGCAAAAGGGCAGGTATACTCTCGAGGTGCAATGCGCCTTTTTCGCTCGCTGTCGCTTCCAAGTAAAATGTTGCCCTTGGTAACATCTACGGTCCACTGCAGTAACGTCAGACTGCACTTACAAATACCAAGTGTTCTGCTTATATTCTTTACTTATTTAACCAAACCTTTTATTATGTGTAATACTGTATATTCGTGTTTAATTTAACATTTTCTATCTATTTGTATATTCGTTTATTTGTATGTGTATATTGGAAATTACGATAAATAAGAAAGGTAAATCACATTGATTCTATTGGAATGCTTTATAATTAACAATAACTGTCCTTTCTATTAAAATAAAATATCTGTTAACGTCAGCACGTTACGCTTTTAAAGATTCACCGGTCTGATAACGAAAGACAGGAAATAATCGGATTCACAACAAAAATTCTCTACAGTATATGGATCACGCTATTCCTTTTTCCTTGGTAAAATGACTACGGCAAGAATTAATTAGATGAAAGCTTAAAAATAACTTATAGCAGAAACACGTACCATGCAGTGAATTTTAAAATTAATTTTAAGTGTCAATTATTTCGTGACATTTTTTGTAGTATACAATTACCGTAGCCTGCGTATACTTTTTAATTTTAATACTTGTGTATTCTTTATTAACTTTTTCATTTCATTTATTATTTTATTAACAAGATTCGACAAAAAATATAGTAAACGACGATGTTCGTAATAGAATTGAATTTTCGAGTAATTATATTTTGTAAATGTATTAAAGCAATATTTTATGAAAAAATGTAATGACATTAATGATTAAAATCAATGAAATCATAAAATCTGAGAGATCGTCTCTTACTTTATGAAATTACAATAAGAGCTTCCATACTCGATTAAAGTGCATTTGCTTAATTTGCGTGTATAGCGGCTGTTCTTTTTGTCACGTTCGTTACGTCGCTGCATCGGAACGAGACAGATCTAATCAAGTCAAACTGAGCGCGCGGTGCGGTTAATTACCTAATGAAGTTAGTATGAACAATCATTGGGATTGCGTAGAATCGACAAAATTTCTGAATCACGTTTTATCGTTTGTCAACTCTCGCTTTTAAGTTGATTTGTAATATTTTTTTATCTAATAACTAATATCATATATATTCGAAGCCACTGATGTCATATAAATTTTTTGGAGCAGAATCTCGTTTTAGCGTTGGTAAACACTGTTTTAAAAATTGTTTTTTAAAATTGTTAAAAAATCTTTCTGTAAAATCGTTTCCTGTTTTAACTAAATTTGATTCAAATAAAGTAAATAGAAAGTAATAACAAAAAGATAGGGAAAATGTGTGTGTAGAACGACTATTTTACGTCGGCGAAAAAATCTTTCGTATTTATCTTCAGCGACCAGAGAGGGAACTTCGACCGTCGTATCGCTGCGCGAATCGTGCGAAATCCCTTCAAAAATCTCGACACACTAAGGTGGTTTAGAATAGAGAGAACAAAAGTGCACCTTCGCGGAAATCTCATACTACGCTAACGTTATTTGAGTACTCCGGCTGTATTCTATATATGTGATAGAATCTCTGTGGGCCACCTTACTAAAATTCTATCAGAAAATATGCGCGACTTAATCCTTTGATAATATAATAGAAAAAGATGAAAGAGTGCGAGGTATCTTTGATAGTCGAAGAAATCGGCCTGTGACACAAAAGAGACGCTAAAAGGCGAGTAGGCTAAAGCGTATGAAGCATACGCCGTTCATACGACACACAAGGTAGAGCTTAATCAGGTTCGACTAGTTGGCAGGTGCGAGCGTCACGCTTGCAAAAATGAGGAACAAGTAGTCTCTCCAAGAATCTACGTGGTTCTGCTATCTTGTACTCAACGCAAGAAATGCAAGTCCGGATCGATATCAAACGTATAGCAAAATATCATCTCGGTAACTTTCTACTTCATATTTAGAAACAATGCGAAGATTTTTATATCGTCATACGTTGTCTAATTAAAAGAGGAATAAATTTCCATTTTAGTTTGATTCAATTTCAGGATTCCATTAATGTTCATACAGCCTTTCATGAAAAATTCCAGCAGTGCTCGTGTCGATTGATCGCTCGGGCTCGCGTAAGTAAACTAATCTTTTACTGTTATGCCAGACAAGTATCCGGAGATTTTTACCGCATTTGTGCCATGACTGCGCCTATATTTACCGTGGTTCGCGTTCCAAAGAGACGTCTCTTTCTCTCTCCTCCCCCCCCCTCTCTCTCTCTCTCTCTCTCTCTCTCTCTCATGAAAAGCAGGGGCCCCGTAGAATAGCGTATACAGGGTCGGGTCCTCGTTACGATCAGCCTATACGACTGACGTTGAATCGTTCGAGGTGTTCGTGTTAATGGCAACATGTCTCTCTGGTATACCGTTAAAGCCTCCGCAATGCTCACTGAACCTAATTAATGACGCGTTCGCGTTGCGCCGGATATACCACTACGCCTATAAGTGACCAGCTATTGAGGATGGCGCTTTCGAACAGGCGCACGTGCTACCGCTTAACATCCGTCTTACTAGCTGTCACGCTATT